GTTGCTGCCTTGCTCGATATTACGAATCAGTTCGCCTGTGCGCTGGCGATCTGCCGGATCACTTTTCTTCATTAGTGCGGCTTTGAGAATTGCATAGGGAACACTTACTTCAAGACTAAACATATGCACTGTAATATGCCTGTTTAACTGCCGCAGCAGTGAACGTATGGCAGCAAGAAGTCGAGAATGAGGATCTGCGACTCCTTGTTCTCGAAAATCTGCCTCGGCATGCAGAAATCATGTTTCTGCATTGTCCGGACAGTATGACATGCTCTAGATAATGTTCGTCGTGGGCTTAACACGGATAAGCTTCGGAGTATGGTCGGATATGGGAAGAGGGTGTATATGGATATATAAAGGTTATCAAAATGAAAACAATATACAAGTTTAAAAAAGGAACTGGCTCACCAATTTAAGGTCCATTCTAGGTCGGGATATGTAATCACGTCGGGCTCACCAATTTAGGAATTGTCCTGGTACGAACTTGAAAGACGCAGAGGACAATCACTAGCTATTCGAACTTGTCATATACCCCCGGGATACGTGACCAATAAAGAACACAATAGCGTAGTCGGATGGAATAGTATATTTGCGAGATCGTGCCAAGATACTGATACATTCCAACTAACTGGCTAGGGGCTCTATCATGATCAGTTCAATGTAACATGACAGCGTGTCAAATGGCTAGGACGCTTAACCTGGTACCTTCAGCTTGGCAAGTATAGTTGAGCTATGAAGGTCAGCATCGATGTTGAGTCTCGTTGAACCCTAGGCTGTTGATTCTAGGGAAGTGTGTGACGCTACAGGACAGTGCATTAAGTAGAGTCGGCTAAGCGTTGCACAATGGTCACACACCCAGTTCACTTCAGGTGTACGGACACTTAAGTGATTAAGAATGGAACTATTTCTGCCCGCTGGTTTCTTGATGTAGGCTTTTTGGTTTAGGTCTTAAGAGGTTAAAGAATGTATATAAGATGGTGTAAAACTGTCATTTATCCCTTGATCTTTTCCTTGGGGACCTTATCATGTACCATCATAGCTTTCAAGGGGACTCGGGGCTGATAAGCAGAGGAACGTGCCAGTATGATGGATTTGCAGAGACAGACAGTGAAGCATTCAGTTTGGAGTATTATAAGGTCAGAAATAGAAGCAGTTATACGCGTAAGACATGTTTGTGAAATTCGAATGAGGTGGAAAAGTGAACTCTTTCAAGTCAAAGATTGATCCCGAGGTCTATAGAACGTCAGTCTGCTATCAGTATACGTTACACGTCACATGGAATTCCTCTAGTGGACGATTCCAAGGAATTTTTAGTATCCGCCTAACGTAGACTAGTGAAATCATGGAGGAGGCAGTCCTCCGACCACTGGCTGAAAAGTCTGCAGCCCAGGAGGACTGCGTCCTGGGGTTTTGCTGCCATTGACCAATATTTTTGACACACCCTTAACCATGTTGTTCACCACGTCCTCATCTCAGGCGCAGCCACTCAAGATTTTTCATGGACGTCTCAAAAAGGCTGTTAAATGGTAGAGGCTACTAAGCAACTAGTTGCCAATAGCCCGCCTGTTAGTCCTATTAGTATCATGGCTGCTGTTTTGGGAAAGATAATACGTAATGAGATGCCTCAAAATTTCCAGATACAAGGCCTGGTGACTCGGGAGGGGCATGACCTTTGGATCAGACGCTCCTGTCCTCAAAGACACCCGTCACGGAGTAGGATTGGGTTGGGGGTAGGGTCAGGAGACTTCCTATGAATGTAGTTTTTACTGACTCATTAATGTCTTCTGACAATGTTGCAATCAGCATTGTAGAAGAAACTTCGCATACTTAGTTTCGACAGTTTGATTAATGCATGGATCAGCGGATACTTACGCAGGAGATGACGAACAGTAAGAGCTAGCGGAATACAGTCTAAATAGGGACCCATCATCAGTGGTGTTCTCTAGAACACTGTCGCTGCTTCTCATCCCTAATGATGTACGGAAGATGCTTAGACATCGTAATTACTGGCTCCTGATGACGTCAAGATTTGGAGGACCATCCGCAAGCACTACGATATGTCTACAGCTGAACTTGGCACCGATAAAGTGGTCGAGTGATCTAATAGACGTAGTCCGGAAATCGATCCTTGCAAAAGTTAGGCAGTTTTCAGTGGAAGTAGATTTTAGTGGCGACTCCATGCGTAGGAATGACTTTAGGCTGTGAAACGAAGAGATTAAGGGGTTGTTAAAGGTCATGACTTAAAAGCAGCCACCAATTTTAATTCTTCTTCTGAAACTGAGGCTTTTCTGATACTTGAGTAGAGCATTAAAATACTTGAAGAGATGTTGCTGAATTCTGTACCATGATTATGTAGGGCCTCCTTTACAGCACCGCATTCAGCTGGCTAGTCCAGGCTACAAGAAAGAACCCGATACACTAAGATGGGCCCAGTGGGTTGCCATTAAACAATTGACAAGTCTTGTCTAATTTCCCTGTGACCTGATCTTCTCCTTTCACATCCTGAATAATGACTTAGGTGCTTACTTATAAAATCTTTTCATTTTTTCTAGGATGGATTGCCTTAGAGGACATCGCGAAAAGAAATAGAAGCTGTGGTCTAAGAATCTCCAAGTCGCGTATCACTTCCCTCGTAGGGTGACCACTTACTTGGTAAAGTTATTTTGTTTAGTTGTGAGAAGGGACAGTGTCGTCCTAGCCAGGCGTCCAGTCATTACGAGGCACTGCTTACCGGCCCTTTTCGTGCTGATTGATGTTCACGCTCACCTTGTAGGTTCAAAAGTAAACAACAAACAGGCTAACAACCAGTGAAACAGTGCTCTGACCACCTCACGCTTGAGGTCTTTACGCAGGCTATCTTCAATCAAAGGAAGTCGCATGGTCCCGCAAAGACCCCTGAGGTTGGCAGTAGAGAAAGTTTCAAAACTAAAAGTTGTTCTCCCGTAATAACTAGTACCAATATTTCATACGTTAATAGAGGTAGGATGGAAATCGTCAGAGTCGTGGACTGCCTCCCTGTCAGCATACCTTCGGAGTAGGTCCCCTCAATGATAAATTAGAATCCCACACCTGATAAGCGCCGAAAGAAAGGTTTGAAGAAATGTGGGCAGGTCAGATCAGTTGAAAGTAAAGCTTTAGGAAACGATCGTTGGCCCGGTAAAGTAACGACTATCCAGCCTAGCGGGAGGTCGAATCCTAAGTTGATTCTCCGAACATGGTCCGAACTACTCTGGAATCCTGGCATGATGAATCTGATGCATTCCCCAGGGAAATTGAGGTAACCGATTGCAAACCCAGGAGACAAAGGCAGACGGCCCTTTGGAGGCCAGCGATATAGTCTTAACTCAACCTGCTTCTGGGACTTCCGGCCTTCATACTTTCATTCGCTGCACCTATAGTAATGTGCGTAGCCTACCCTGCAAGATGCCAGCTCTAGGGTTATTGGTTGATGATGATAGTCCCAGCATAATGGTTTTCTGTGAAACATGGCCCACAGTGGACATAAAAGGTGAGGAAGTTCGTTTAGGACAGTTCATCCTAATCCAGAGGGATAGATCAGAAGGTCAAGGAGGTAGCGTCACTCTCTACGCCTGTCTTTCCTCCAAAGTCCGTGAGACTTGTTTCCATAGAATTAGGACTAAAGATGTACTCTGGTGTAGCGTTAACTGCGGTGGAGCTGCGTGTTAGGTTGGAGTCTTATATCGCCCTTCTGGAGCCCCTGTCACGGTAATTAAAACGTTGATACAATCCATTAGAGAAGCCTTGCTATTGAACACTCTACAGGTCCTGAAGGTTCTATTCTGGGCCCACTACTGCTTCTTGCCTTTATCAGTGACCCATCAGGATCATTCAATTCCCACTCACCATTGTACGCAGATGATCTGAAGATTTGGAGGGAAATACAGATGCACCGGATATTTCGGTCCCCCAGGAGGGCCCTGTGAAAATCCTTAACTGGGCAGCAGAAAACCCGCTTCTGCTCAACTCGAAGAAGTGTAGGATGACAGTAGCCGGCAAACATAAAAGTAGTCCTGGTTCTCACTCTCTGGGTGAAATAAATGTTTGTCACTCTGACACGGAACAGTATCTGGGAGTTACACTAAACGACACACTGGAGCTTCATTCCACTATTGCCTTGCAGCAAACAAGACTTGTGGAGTCTTGGGGTATCTTTAGAGGACTTTAGGAAGTCTAAATCCTCTTTCCACCATATTGTATGCTCTGTATATCCGCCCGTATCCAGAGAAAAGTCCTCCCGTAAAATCCCCGTATTTGAAGAAGGACGTCGCCGTCCTAGAATGGGTGCAGGTACGATCTACAAAGAAAGTGATTGGGTTATGGTACAAACCTCACCCAGACAGCTGAGTTGCTCTTCAGCTGCATCCAGTACAATACCGGAGGATCAGAGGGAATATGATCGTGGCGCACCCTGTCGATCATAATCTCCTTCATCCTGATAGATCCCTCTTAAGCTTTGGTCTAGAACGCCCATCACCTGACAATTGCAGGAGGAGGCTAGATGCATATCTTGGGTCTTGTGGTTGCGACGGGATGTACTCGAGAAGCTTTCCGTTGTCTGCAGATCAGGTGCTACCTTCAAACCAGATTGACTAATAATCGATTATCTCTATCCTTTCAGGTTTTTCGGAGCCAGGAAGATAATTGTGACCATTCCAAACCCAGGACGTATTCCAGTAATACAGACATAGAACCGAAAGAACAGTCGTTCACTAATTCTTCAAAACGAAGTTTGAACTTCTTACTGGTACAAGCTGTCACAGCTCATCCGTTTGTCATATTCTAAAAATTTTTTGGACGTTCACGAAGGTAATGGTGGCAATGATTACCTCAGGTTAGTAGCCTGTCACCGTTTTAACTGTAGACATATGGTTTTGAATCAATATTCAATTTCACTCCAATGAGGGAAACTGATTTCAAGGCCTCTCAATGTGCAACTCCTACTTTTAAATTGTTATTCGAATATCTACCCCCCATTTAGTATGTTACGGTTAAAATGTGCCTTCCAAGTGTACGAATGGGGTAAGGTTGGCGCGAAGAGTGAAGTTTATAAGCTGTTGGGCAATTCCGGACAGTCTCAGAAACTAGATGAGTCGAAGCCTTATGCAGAGGTAATTTGTACAGCTCTCTCAATGTCATTTGGCTTAGCTGTGGATGGGCACTCACATATCTGGACCATCATTTCTAATGGACGATCCGTCGCTGTCACTTGAAAGTTACATTTCAGAACATTTCAACTGTTTGGGTTCTTCAGTGTTTGGAAAGTCACTACCATTTCTTTTCAAAGTTCTCTCTGTGAGGAAAGCACTTTCCATTCAGGCGCATCCTGACAAGGTGCAGTTTTCTTTTGGTGACGTCTATAATTTTTACCAGTATTATCAAATTTTGTTCATAACATAGGAATAGGGCTTCCACACTACCTCATTATCCAGTTTTTTCTTGGACGACTTTCGGAACCTAATCAGTAGTGGGTAGTTCCTTTTGCTTACTAAAAGCAAAAGAAGAGTTAGGTCGTCGACGTTTTACTGTTTTTTTTGTTAAAAAAGTTTTTCTACTAAGTAAATCTTTGTCGAGTACATGGTGCCATATCAGAATACAGATTCTTTCATGAAGCATAGATTGATGTCCATATGTAAGTAATTTTATAACAGCTATTTTGTCAACTGAAAGGTGACTTTGGGACTTACTGGAATTACCTAGATATAACTAGTGATAACTATTCCAGATGACATTTTCGGTACATTTTGTTGAGACAATAACTCCATTGCAATATTTTCATTCATAATATTTATTGCAATTAGTTTTTGTGAGTAATATCAGTAACAAAAGCGGTAAAATGAGTCCTTAGGAGATTGCGTATTTATTTGCCTTTAGTAAGTTGTTCAGTATGTTCTTATCCAGCAATTTTTCCTGACAGATGTTTCCCAGTTAGGCTACGGTTGAATTCTGTATTAAACTGTGTACAATAGTTTTATTGAGTTACTTTCTACCCTCCATGACGAGGTAAAAGGAGCAAGTTGTGAATGGAAAGGATCCTTAGTGTTTAACTAAATTACTGTAGCTAGTCGCTCTCATGAATTTAAGTATCTGTCGACTGCGATGTCATTCAGTTTTGAGAGATACACACTAACCCTAGTGACAGCTTTTCAAGCCTTGTGCAATAGGAGAGTCCTTATTTGGAAGTCCAGTAACGAACAAAAGGAAAATATAAAGAATAATTGGTAAAATGCGAAAATATTAAACTACAAAGCACATACTAGTTTATTCTAGAATCCCAACCTTCATGTATAATACGTTAAATGAAAGGTTTATTTTGAAGACAATAAAGTTTTAGGTAATAAACAAAGGTTAGGGAAGAAAATCAATCCAAGATGGGCAACTTTCGATTCACTGTCGATATTGGTATCACAATAACACAAGAGTTGAAACAGATCACTTATCTTGTTCATACCTGAGACCATAATCAAGTCTAACCTTTAGAAGGGTTTGGCTTAAGTATGTTTGAAGAAAACAACTGGTCATTCTTAGGTGAGAATCTGTTTGGTGTGTTTTAAATAAATTTCCTAACAAGTTTACATTGATAAGTACTATTCTGCAGTGCAGAAATGATTCATTAAGAATCTGTTTGCTGGAGAACATTTTAGGTGAGGAACTATTAGTACGAAAATTCAAAGCATCAGCCAATCTAACGAGATTGGTATTAGCAGGTTCAGATAAGTTGTGCAAAAAGTAGAGCAGAAGGATAGAGTACAGGATTTAAGAGCCACAGTCGCTTCTGTTAGCAATGAAGTAGAGTGCCTCCCTATATAAACAGGCAGTTTGTGACAGGGCTTAATATCTACGATGGCAAGCTTATTTACCAAGAGTGGCCAAAGGAAAAGGATAAATGCAGACTCGTAACCTAGGAAGGTATCGTGAACATGCGCGATACTTTTCTCAAGACTGGAAGCTATATATATATATATACATACATTTGAAGCCATCGTTTGTATTAAAACAAAAAAAGCCATCTGTTTAGTTGAAGACACTAAGTAGAATAAAATCTACTTGCTGGCGCATAAACGACTGATTTGAAGCATAGGCCCTATGAAAAACCTCATTGAATCAGCTTTTCATTGGCAATTTCGTAAAATAATTTCTACATGTTGGAGGACGGAAAATTCTGATCATGTGATGTATTCCGGACTCAATTAGACAGTTACGTCTTCCAAAGCCTAAATTCGGAGAAGAAACTTTACTGAATTCATCAGCAAAGTAGATGAATCAGAGGGGTTGTAGTTGTGATATAAGGGTAACTAATTAAAAGCAGTTAAACTCAGCAACCATGTATATTTCCATGCCCTAAACAGTGAACCACAACAATTGTTTGAGGATTGGGGATGCTAACTGGTTGCCTAAAAATCGGCAGGAGTAGAGTTCAAACCTGTGACCCACTAGTTGGAAGGCAGCTTCCTAAACCAGTGAACCACAGCTCCATCCACATGAATGTTTATTATCCAATTATGTTTGTATTTACTTGTGTGTTTAGGACGACTTGTAATAGTAATGGTTGAAACTAATGATACTTGGAGGCTAGTTTCAAGTAGCTGTTTATGGAGTGGAAAATGAATGCCTCTGTAGCATATATGAGGTTGTGTACAATGGGAATGAATGCAAAATAAGTGGATTCGGGCGTTTGCATGTATTATTAGTCTGTTATCGTTTAGCCTTATTTGAACTTAGCTGCAAAGTTATTGTTTATTGAAACTTTATAAGAAAGATGGGACAGTAGTACACAATCAAACCTGGTATCCGGAACAGTGACAAAACATTCTATCGGGTTTCACGCGTAGCAGTACAACGTTGGTATTATCTGAATTCCAAAATAATATGAGCAACACACTTCGCATAAGGTGATGTGCTAGGGGTAAGTTTGTTGAATAATGTGCAAGGAAAAAATCTTGGCATTAGTTGGAATCTTTATGAACTTTGACTGTCTTTTCTCTAAAATTCCAAATTTGACATTTCATATTGTAACAAGTAGCTGTATAGTCAGTGGATATATTCCTGGCGTTCGTGGATGTTCCACAACACATCATCTAACATGTACAACAACCAACTGTCAACTCCAACTTCTGTTCACTACGAAAGAAGACAAAGCCCTTAATCTATAACTTTAGAAGTTGAAGAACGGTGCAGCACCGCAGTATATATATATATATATATATATATATATATATATATATATAGTGCTTTTTGTGATGAATACGAATCCATCTTGTGATCATTATTATGGTTATACTACAGTGCTTTACATTTGTATTTCTAGGAGTATGCTGTTAAGCTGCACGCTGAAAGGCCTGATCTATACAAAGATTCAAACCATAAACCTGAGTTGGCAATAGCCCTAACACCTTTTGAGGCAATGGTCGCTTTCAGACCTCCAGCAGAAATTGGTGCATTTGCAAAATGTAAGCAGTCAATAAGTATTTGAAATTGTGTTATTATCACCATCACTATGATTATTTTCATTGCGATTTCTTTCAACTGATTCATATGCAAGGTTATTATTTTCATATCACTGAATTGATGGATTAATTTGATCGATTTCTGTTGCCTATGAAAGGCATTTTGATATCACCGTTTGCTGTAGTGTTTTTCATTTTCAATGTCTACTGGCATTAGAATTCAAGACGCACGTTTCTTGCTGTAGCTAACTTTTCATTTCGACACTTAGAAGTAACAAATAGAGAACCCTAGGATAATTGCGTGTTATTCTTAATTCTCAAAGGTAAATTTAGTGTCAGGACGAAAAAAATAAAATTAAGGTTATCCTTGGAGCAAATTATTTGTATACGATCTAAAGCGTTCATATAATCCGTTTTTGTAGCCGATTGAATTAAAGTCATTGAAGTTGAGAAACTTCGTAAAGAAACCATAATCCCGTGATTGGATAAGGCTGCTGTATTATTTTGATAAAGTCAGATTTATGTGTAAATTCAAATCAATTATGTATAACTTGACGGGATTTATAAAATAAATGAAAAAGCCCACCCAGCCACCTTGTGCATATCCATGCAGTAGGCAATGAGCCACACCTGTCGTGTGAGGGCTAGTGATATTACATGGCTGCGCAAACCTCGGTAGGTGGAGCGGGGCTCGAACGCCGGACCCAATGGTTGATAGTCATCTCCTTAAGCCACTGAGCCCCAGCTCCCCTATGGGATTTACGTTAATAGTTCAAACAAAGACTAAAGCAACTAGGAAAACGGGTTGAGAGGTAGTTGCCATGACTTTCGTAAAGGAAAACAGTTGATAATCCTACCTATACTCCGCTATAACTACGAGATTGTATGTCTTACCTGTGTAGTTTGCCGAAAGTTTATGAAATTTGGTCATCTTATAACACCGATATTGGCAATAATCAACTTCCTATTCCATAAATATTTGCAGAAAATCATGCTATCAATCTGGTGTAACCTATAGAAGTAATGTGCCATTATTCTGATCTTCCTTTACCAAAAGAAGAAATTTGATACCCTCTACTCATGCATACTAAAAACGTACAGTTTTGCCTCGCATGTTGTGTCATCATGCCAGGAAACTTCTATGGGTGGCCATCATAGTTTGAATTCTAGAATTTACAATAGAACATGACGAAAACGGTAAGTTTCACTTCTTAGACATCGAAATTCAACGTACTTGAAGTGGCGAGTGAATAATAACGCGATGAGACACTTATACTGAGTGTGAATTGCAACTGTTCCACATCAGAACCTTATATTTCACTTGGTCGTAAACGTCAGAAGGCAAAGAGCGGCGTGTAAGGAATACACTTTATTCGACAAAAACACATCATTTTTATATCGTTTTCATAAACATACAAAACCGCTAGATCAAACGTTGGATATTTATTTTGATCGGTCAGCTATAGTATAAGTTGCCGAATAAGGCTTTTCCTGACCACATAGTAACGTAAAACAAAAGTCGAAATACCAAACTTCTACCTTAATGGCTGATGACTTAAGATGTTGATTTCCATATATGCCGCTTCCTATCAGTACTGTGGATAGTAAAATACGAAGACATGCTTACGCTAAAAATATATTGGACGGACTTTATCTCACTAATAATGGATAGTGGCTAAGAGTGGAATCCAGGACGCGCATTTCCTCCTATTTTCGGCTCATCTGCTGCATATGCCTGCCTCCTAGTGAGAGATGTTGTTCCCACCAGGACTCGAACTCGGGACCGATCGCTTCAAACCCCAGAGCGTTATCCACTAGGCCGCCTAGTCATGATAGCCACTTCTTGTGCGACGGATATAGTTTTAATGTCGTTGGTTGTACTGTCCCGTCGTTGAGTGGACAATACAACCGACAACACTGGACCTTATCTTAACTTCAAATAAAAAGTGTGAAAGTTTCCTACAGCATCATAGCCGGTCATCGTCTCGTAAGTGTGTGGTGTCAATATCCTAAATTCGTTTAAAGTAACTATCGAGCAGATAAACTTTAATTTACTGCATTTTTCTGCGGTAGTGGCCTTACCTAACTTATGCATTCCGAAGGGAACTGTTATGGACCTATTTTGCCAAAATATTATCGCCATCATTGGGATTTCACTCCCTCTATTACTTTTGCTTCAAATTCATGGTCTACTTCTGTCTAGTATAAACTTACTTATTTTAAATTCATTGGCTTTTTTTAACACCCACATACCTCATGACTTTTGGATTGCCTTTTAACTTCGGTAATTTCCTTATAGTCCTGACTATACTTTACCAATTTGATTGTGTATAATGTTTACCTGCTACGGGGTATCAGTAATACAACACAGAATTCGGTACAAGTTTTTTTACTACGAAATAACGCAAAAAGAGCAAGCCAACAACATAGTGACAACAAATTTAGACAAGATTTAAGGTAGAATAAGAAATAACGATCCTGCGTTTGACTCTTCACCACTAGTGTAAAGGCGCAGACTAGCGTAAGTTCGAATCGTTCTCCGGAGATGTTGGGTTATCTATAATAGTATTTATTTCATTTTCATTATTGTTAGATGCAACACCGAAGAAATAAGCAAGTTCGTTTGTTTTGATTGTATTCATATTTAGAAAGTTTCTTGATAATATGAAGTGTTTCTTATCACGTGCATCACTTGTAACTATCACTTTCATTTCACGAATATATTTCGGTGTCATTCTGAAGTATTGTTGTACCACGTCTTCTGTAGACATTTCCGAACTCTATGCGATAATTGGTTCGGAGTATACCAGTGACTTAATGGCTCTTTCCGCATCAGATGAAGATCTTACTGCTCCGTTAATAAAAGCTGCTTACTCACGTTTAATGACTGCAGATCCTGAGATGGTAAGTGTTTCGGTGCTTTTGTTGTTCTTTTAGTCTACATAATGGATTTCAGTCAACCTGTTTATAAGAAATGACTACATTATCGTGTATACCAGTATTTAGAGCTGTATATTTAAACTCTGACACATTTACCGAAGTCTGGGCCTCTAGGTAGTATTATAAGCTTTCACACAATAGATATGGCTTATTGCCTACTCCACCGTCGTGCACATGTTTGCTGGGCTGCGTTTTTATCTTTATGATATTGTTTTGTAGTGTTAAGTGGTTGTGTTATAGTCAAAATAATTTGACACATTTTGTGAATGTCAAGTACCGATTAAACTGCCTTGGAATATTATGCAGTCGAATGATAAATTCTTATGCAGCCTAACTATTAGGTCATTCACTCAAACTATAAAAATTCCGATTGTCAAGCAACTAGATGAATTCCAAAATAAATGACGTCGGAATCGATGTATCGAAATTCACACAGTAACTTTATACACTTCCGTGTATAAGAAATGAGGGACACCTGTTGTATCAAGGCTAATGATACTCCCCAAACTTCGATAGATGGAGCTGGGTTGACCAGTGAGACAGCTTTATAAAACGAAGATAATCGACTACTATGAAAAAAATTATCGACAAAATAGATATGAGTATATGAAATATTACCATAGTAACACTGACAGTTCTCATCAGGCTCTACCTTCAAATACAATATTTCAAACCTAGAAACAAACAAACACGTTGAGTGGTTACATGAAATTTTAACAGTTATCTGTATATTTAGCTAATTATGGGATTAAAATTGTATGACAGTTTATCTCAAAAGATCTCGGATAATTAGTGTATAAAGTGATTATCAGTTACAATAGGGTTAAAATTAAACATCGTAACAGGCAGTCAGTAACTATCCAGTCCCATCTAACTAATACTGATCACGGTGTTGGTATAAAGTGTGCTCTCTCAGTAATCCAAAAGATACCAGGTCGAATGCCATAAACATTAAGAATTCGCTTTTTTCATATTGCTGAAGCTATTGCAATAAAAATCGTGAAACCTGATCTCTGTATACAAACGCTACTCAATTACATTCTCTTATTCTTCAGTGGTCATCTGCAAAGACGGAATTTACATGATTCAGATTAACAATGGCTCAACCAACTTGTTCCTATCAATCTGATTCAGTGTTTTTTCTACTCTGATTTATATTCGTGTAATTTTTATGTTTCTAATTTTCGTTTAACTCAAAATGCATATCATTATAAACTCTTTTGAATCCAACCAAATTCTGAATGAAATGCAAGTAAAGTTAACTTGGTCGCCAGTTAATTTAATGCATAAGGATTGTGATTGCTTAAGATGTTTGGTCTCTAAGAGTGAACGGATTTCGCTTATTTTTATACAAATTATGCGATGGAATTTGAAATTCGCTTTTACGCACTCTTTTACCTCCCTCCCATACATCCTTTGCATTCGCCTTCGTAAATGACATTAATTTCTTATTGGTTTTCCTCTTTTCTCTATTATCCCAACTTATTTATTACGTCTTAAAGGCATTTCCATTGTATATAAACGAATATTCTGTATCCAAGTTTTCTTTGGTTTCAACTGGGTGACTTTCAGAGGAGATCGTTGTTTTGATGCGGAGTTGTGAGGACGAACGGAAATAGTTAACGATTGGTAGTCGAGGGTTGAGACGATGCAACCCGAATGATTTGCAAAGAGAAATCAAAAGACTAGAAATCAGATGAGTTTATAGTATCTCGAACTGAAACGTTTACGAGTGAAAACTGAGCCTATTTATAGAGTTTGCAATAACCTTGAGAGACAAGGAATCACTGGTACATTTAAAGAGGTAGGAGCCAATCAGAACAGTAGCGGGTCATACGAAATGTGACCCATGTACTGGAAAAGAGCGCTAATGAACAGTTAAAACATATACAAAACTGCGTATGGAATGTGCGGGATGTCGGTATCCCTAACATTCATGATTCCTTGAACAGTATAACCAGATCATGCATCCAGGATCTTGTTTTACCGCCTCTTATCATATTGATAGAAGTTGAAAAGAAAGCTTTCCTCGTAACCGAATACTAAACAGCTGGTCTAATGATGATGAATGAATAGCTCATTCGCATAAAATTTAGACAACACTCTCTGATTGAGGTTAAATTGAGATGTGGTTAGCAGTTGAGTCTCAACTCAGTCGGTAAATCACTAAATTTAACATCTCGACACTGGCTCGAGTTTTGTGTCTCCAAATACGTTCACTATTGAATACGAATGTAATCCTACCGATCAGAACTATCTGAAGTAGTCTAATCATCAATTACTTAAAACCCAAGCAGCTTAGCTACTTTCTGTCTACTATGTGTAAATAAAAGAACAAAAGTATAAACAGCTCATCTAACCTTCCAGCAATCGTGATATTTATCTCTTGGTGCCTATATTATATCGAATTTATATTTTAAATAAAGATAGATAATCTAGGTTTTTTTAAGATGGTGGGTTGATAGTGAAAGGGTGGAGTTGTCGTCCATTGGTCTATGAACTCGACTTTCAGCTACTAGTGGAATTTAAATCCGGGTCTTCAGTACTTGAAAGTCAACTGCTGGAGTCAACGAATCACCTCTCAACTGAGAATGATTTCATAAAGTAGGAAAATATAAGCTATGGTTTAACTAAATGTTAATCTAATCTTTTTTTGCACAATCTCTTTTCTCATCCTAGGTCAGTGCATTGGTGAATAGTTTGAAGGACCGTTTAATAAGTGGTGAAAAGATTATTATCCCACCTTTCGAGAATTATACCATCGATACAGATGGTTTAGAAAAAGTTTTTATACGGCTGGCTACAGATTTCCCTGGAGATGTTGGGTGTTTCAGTTTGTTCTTTTTCAACTATATAAAACTTAATCCAGGTGAAGCTATTTTTCTAGAAGTGAGTAAAAAAATATCTATCATAACAAAGAAAATGCTGTTTTATTTATGTGCATGGTTCTGTTTTGTGCTTATTTTTCATCACCAGTTCATAGTTTCTAAAAATAGGAATGATTATATCAAGTGTTCTACTGTGAAATCTTTTCATCAAGACAACATACTCTATTCATCTTGGTTACAGCTGGACGGCTTAGAACTTGGCACAGAATTTCATCAGTTCAGGTTTGTCCGTTTCTCTTCAACACATGAAGAAAAATGCATTTAAATAGATAAAAAAGGGGTTATGAGAGGATGCGAAATTCAATAAAGACTAATATAGGCAGTCAAAATTTTGGAGATATCAATGAGTGTATGACACTTTTATCGATTTTAGTGAATATCACCGAGAGTCTTCAACTGTTGATTCTTAATATCTAGAAGGCATGAATCACATAGTATATACACCTTCACTACTCAAATCAGAGTTCATTAGTTGGTACCAGTTTTTGATATGGGATAGTGAGCTTCAACCTAACCCTAATTCCGCTAACACAGATCATCAAAGTAAGCTGGTGTTTTGAAATGCAGAACAGATCTACAGTCTGTCTCAGTTCAGTAATTTATCAACTGACTCATACTTTTTCGCCAGTAGTCTATGTCTAAATTTAACATAGTTAACCATGGACCCACGTTATGCAGCAAATGCTATAGAGAAACTTACTGTCTGACTGAGTAATCACAACCTCCCCTAGGTAACTAGTTCACTAGTTACTGGCCAGTTCTAAGCCCGGACAAAGAGGGAACGTTGGGCATAGGGCTAGCAACCCTACCCCGTAAAACCAATCTAACCGCTTAACAAACTTCAAAGCAAAACGGAAATGCAAAACATAAAATGAAACTTATTCCTCGCTGGAATCGGAGAGGCGAAATGACGCCAGTTGGTGAAAGCCTTCAGGAAGCCAATTGGCCGATGTGTTTTCTCTCCCCCAATGAAAGCGAAAGTAAAAATGGGGACACAGAATGTCCGAACAGTGTTTGAAGCTGACTGGCTGACAAGGCTGCCCAGATTGTAAGAGATATGAAAAGATATAGCATAGAAGTGCTAGGCTGGGAATCTGCGAGAAATCTGCAGATGGAATGGAAGTGGACTCTCAAAACTCTTAACTGGAGAGTCAATAATCTACTCGAATATTGTCACCCAGATGACAACCACGAGCACAGCACACTGAGTTTTCGTATGGCCATCATGATGTCCCTAAGCGCATCGAAGGCTCTCATGCAGTGGGAACCAATCTCCTCCACGATCAGAATCATGACAGCAAGATTCAACTCGAAGGGAAGGAAAGTCACAATCACATAATGCTACGCTATGCACCTACAAATAATGCAGATGAAGAGAAGAGGTAGGAATTTTACGGACAACTGGAGTCAGTACCAGACAAGACCCCAGTCCAGTTGGCCATATCAAAATTCGAATGAGCGACATGAATGCCGAACTGGGAGCAGACAACACAGGAAGAGAACCAATCATGGGTGGAGAAGCACTTGGTGAAATGAACGAGAATGGAGAAGTGTTTGGGGATTTCTGCACATTCAACGATTTGGTGATTGGAGGTGGTGTGTACAAACACAAGGATATTCACATAGCTAGCGACATGGATTTGATTTCACCAGACACCAGGACACACTAGAAATCAGGTTGATTATATCGACCAATGTGAAGAAAGTGGAGAGGCAGTCAGCCTACTGGATAAGAGATGAAGAAGTGGATCAGATGTAGGTTCACACCACTCACTATCTAGTGCAATGAGCCTAACTTCAAAATCAAGTTGAAAGCCTTGAAAGAAGCTTGTGATGATAGACCACAGTTTAAGTTGAACAGCCAGAACAGAAACTGAACTGAAGGAGGAAAATGCAAAGGACATCTCCACGTCGGTCAGTGAGTCATCAGGACAAAGTGGGAGATATTGAGCAAGATCCGTGAAGAAACCTGTGTGGAAGAAGACTGGAACTCTTTGGAAGAGATGTGGAAAGAAATCTGGATAACCGTATTATGAATGAAGAAGAAACAGAACAAGATAAGTAATGGATGTTGACGGACACATGTAAGCTGATAGAGCGTGGAGAGGAAGGTGGTGAAGCAGATGAACCAGAGCAGTGTAGTGCAGTGCAGTGTCGGGATGATCAACGGAAGGAGGAACTGAACACAACCTATAAAACACTACACTGCACAAAGAAGTGAAGAAGAGTGAACACAAAGACAAAAGACACTTCCATAATACACTGGCAAGTGAGGAAGAACAGATTGCGGGTAGGAGACCTGACAAAACTATATCAAATAACCAAAACACTATCTGGGTAGAAATCAACACAGATAGAAGCAATGAAAGACAGTGAAGGAAAGTTAGTTACCAAAGAGGAGAAACAAAGGAAACAATCAGCTGAGCACTTCTAAAAACTCTTGAATCGACGACCACCACTACCTGCAACTTGTCCAGAAATATCACCGGCAGCCCAGCCACAGAATTACTAGTGAACACAAGCCCTCCGACTAAAGCCGAAGTCCTGAATGCCATAAAACTGCTGAAAGTCGAGAAGGCAGCAGGACCGGATAGAATTCCACCAGAAGCACTGAAAATAGACGCACAGACAACAGCGGACACACGCTCACACCACTACTGCAGAAGGTTTGCAAGGAAGGAAGGAAAGGTACCTGCCCACTGATTGGAAGAAGGGCTACCTTGTCAAACTCGCAAAGAAGGGAGACCTAAGTCTTTACAACAACTGACGCGGAATCATGCTGCTGGTCCACCCCAGGCAAAATATTATGCCGCATCATCCTGGAGAGACTGAAAGATGCGCTGCATTCAAAATTACGACCGGAACAGGCTAGCTGGCTGGATTCAGGAAGTATAAATCATGTACGGACCAAAGTGCAACGCTACACATCATCATAGAACAACAGAGCGTAGAATACCAGTCAGTCAACTCTCTACGTCAACTTCATTGACTCTGAAAAGGCCTTCGACAGCGTTGACCGTGAATTAATTCGGCAGGCAGCTGCTTGCTTCAACACTATGCTTTTAGTGCCACAAACCTTTATCAACCTGACTCAACAGCCATATGCTATGCTATATGATGAGGCTACATGCCAAGTGATTCACAGTGGAAAGCTCAGTGACGCCTTTGAAGTGAAGACAGGGGTAAGACAAGGCTGACTACTATCACCCATGATCTTCCTGATTGTGGTCGACCGAATCATGCAGGAAACAGTGAGGTGCGAGAAGATGGGCGTACGCTGCCTGGACCGATGAAAAGACCCTAGAAGATTTGGACTTCGCTGATGATGATTTATGTCTAATATCGCACAAACTTCAAGACGTATAGGCGAAAACTAACAAGTTGACAGTAGAGGCAGGGCAGAGAAGACGGGACTTCAAGTGAACGTAGAGAAAACAGAGGTGATGAAGCTACCCAACCAAGAACAACAGCAAGCACCAATCACCATCAACGGCAGAAACCTAGAGGAAGCAGCCTTTTTCACCTACCTATCTAGGCAGCATCGTTTCAACTACAGGTGGCGGCTCACATGAGAATGTCAAAGCCAGCCAGGATCGGAAAGACAGCAAGACAGAAGGCCTTCATTAATCTGAAACCAGTGTGGAGATCGACTGCATTCAGAATAAAGTGTGAACAAGATTCGGATTTCCAACACTAATCCCAGTCAAGTAGTCAGTGCTTCTATATGTTTCAGAAACTTGGCGTGTCACGAAAAGCATTTCCAACAAACTAAAGACATACAGCATCAACAGCTGCCACCTACGCTCACTCGATACTGAAGATGATCAGATGCCAGGATAGTAAGAATAAGTGGCGAGGAACTCTGGCTGGCTGGCTGGCTGCAACGAACCAACCAAAAACCCATCGCCCAACAAATATGCAGAAGACAACGGAGATGGATTGGATTGGGCATACACTGAGAAGACCGATTGAAGACACCACGCACCAGGCCAGGCCCTCGAGTGGAAGCGAAATGGAAACGACGAGTTGGGCGACTGTGGCTAGGGTGAGATGGTGTGAGGAAGAATTGAAAGCTTGTGGGCAGTGGTGGAGTCAGGTTGAAAAGACTGCAGAGAAGAGAGTGAAATTGAGACGTGCTGCTGAAGTCGTGTGTTCCACTAGGAACCTAAGGGACAAATAATAATAACTGCATAATCACATTTAGGTTTTTGAAGTAGACTTAGAGGCCAACCCATTGTATGTTAGTCGGTGATCATGCAAGGTGGAATGCAGTTAATGAATAGGTGACTGATATCGGTATGGAATCTGACATTTCTGTGTAACGGTTTAAGTTGCCACACTACATATCAGTATATCAGACAAAAATTCGCCAAGATGAAGATCAAGAAACAAAAAAGCAGCCAAAGGTGGTAGAAAGACCTGAAAAGAAAGCAAGGAGAAATGGGTTGTCACTGAAATTTGATTGTGAGCCATATTCCATAGAGTCTGTAACCGCTGGTTTCTCTTGTCACCTGGACTCCAACCAGGAAGTCCATGCTTTCCTACACGGATCTGAACAACAGTCGAAGACTCCATTGACTAATGTCATGTTTTAGTCTAGCCACATTTAATGTTTTTCAAGCCTGAAAATACTTTAGCCAACATTGTATGAGGAGGCAGACGGTGAGCAGGTATGCGTGACACATCTCTTGGTCACATGAGCAGATGAAGGTCCACAACCTTACCACTGACTTTTCTTTTTCTCCTTGAAACTCCGCATTACTGACATGGTAGTGCCACAAAACAGGCTATGCTACGAAGGTGTCGGTGGTCAAATACCTGAAGCTATCTCATATCCTCCACCTTTGACGGCCATATAGTAGAACTGCAGAGCAGTGTTATCTAATTTTTATGGGTGATCGGCTATCATTGTGGTGCTATGAATGGCGTGAGTTGTCGAAAGCCAGTCGAGCCTTTTGTTTGTATCCAAAGATTTCGCCGGTCACTGACCCACCAGATTTGATCCAACTTTCCGAGTAGGTAAAATGGTCAACGCACTCAATCTCTTCATTTCTTATTGTTAAACAAGGCACCAGCAAAGACTTGTCCGGATGCAACAGTTGACGCTTTAGGTGATGAGAAGAAGATAGTTTCAGGAAATGGAACATTGGTGAAAAGTGATTCGATGGAAAATCGTGAAAAGATAATAAGAACAAATAAAACGAGTCACGACTCCGTTGACCCAAGAGTGATATGACTTACACTGAATCGCAATGATACAAACGAATTAATGTTTTATCGTCTTATATTTCATACTACCGTTTGTTATTCTCCTTACTGCCTTATCTGCCTAAAACGTTTTTGCAATAGATGATATCGGTTTCTGAGTAATTTTCTTTCCTGAAGTTGATTTCCTTATGCTGACAGTCGGTTGTACAAGCTGAATGGGTCAATGCCAAACTGACTTCACATTGAGCAGCTCTCATAATTATGTCTACCTGGGGAATACGTTAATCAAAGCAGGTTAACGCTGTGTATTTATATCTGTTTATCATTTAGAAATGAACTTGATCAATGTCTTGTATGAACGGAAATGGTTAATCATTCAATAAAGAACAGTATTTGTCGTGTCTTATTGGTTGTCCTTAGATGCTTATTGCATGTAACCTATCGAAATAAATATATGAATAATCGATTTTTGCAGGATGCAGTAATATGCACATATTAATGATATGCCTTAGGATAAGTTTTCCAAAGCTATGACTTATGCGATTAACCACATCAAGGGTGAGCGCATATACTACCACCGATCACTTTGAAGATTAGTCATGCTATCTCTCAAATTGATGGGAAATAAAAAAATTGTCATTGGATTTTAACTTCTTGACTTAACAGTAATGTGCTGGGTGTGAGATCTAACGCCCTTGAATTTGATCGCTCACAGGTTCATTGCATTGATACTTACCGATGATTTTTAATACTTCTCTAGCTGATGTTGACCTGTGCTGAAGACTGCCTTGCAATCAATCGATGCTCCACAAACTACCCAGTTGACCGGAATTAGTTCAGTTGATTTTTTTCAAAGATATTGATGTAGCATGTTTCAGTAGCCACATGTATATTGAAACACATATAGCGAGGAACCACTCTTATTGTGTGCAAACTAATGATATTACTTGACAGCCCAAAGTTTGACAGATGGAGAGGGTTTGAACTCGTGATCGAATGGTTGAAAGTTGACTGCTTAGACCGATGTACTATAGGTGTGTAGGCGCATGAAATTTTACTGGTGGATGGGGAATACATTACAACGTCGTTGTTTTTTACAAATCAATTAGACAAATATTTTTCAGTAGGTAAGAAAGAACTAAATCCTTTGATGGTTAGGGTTAGGTCGGTTTTAATAATAGCTTTATTGTGAAAGATTTTTTGGTAATAGTATACAGAATTTTCAGAATATTGTCTAAGGTATTTGTAACAGAAGTTGGAAATATGGGGCATTGGATTCTGACCCGGTGGCTCAATGGTGACGCGCTGGCTGCGGAACCTGAAGGTCGCGGGTTCGATCCCTGCTGTTGGGGTCGTGGGTGCGCACTGCTGAGGAGTCCCATATTAGGACGAAACTGCTGTCCAGTGCTCCCAGGTTTCCTTTGTTCCTCCAACTGATGTCAGTCTTAGATGAATAACAACTTGAAGTATTTGTAATGAATAAACCAGGTAAATTTATAGGTGAAAGGTAATGGTTATGAAAAGTCATGGATGAAAGCAGTAAATTATAGATTTGAGCATACTTTTGAAAAATCTGAATATTTAGTAAATAAAAAGTAGAATCATTACCAGCCATCAACTAGTCTTCAAATTGGTATCTTTTTCTTCAGCAGACTTTCACTGCTACCCAAACATTTTTCTCTAAATTTCTACCTAAATTATCTCTTCGAAATAAAGTTATGTAGCATTGCTGTTATATTGTACTTTTTAAGTGATACAACCGTGACCATTGAGGCTTAAATATTCAAACCTTATGATGTCGATGTTAAGATCTCGTTTTAGTTGAGAAAGGTCAAGGTGACTTGATTTCCACTTTTATGCTTCAAACATAAGGTTGGTATTTTGATGAGATGTATTGTTGAGGATCTCAGATAACTGTCTGACTGACAAAATCAAGATAGAAACTCGCACAAACGTCCATCGGTTCAAGCAAGTTGTCACAGTTCACAGTAGTATACACATAATAAGTGGATAGAAAATGAGTGATATCAAAGTGGATAAGTTTATGTGAGAGAATAAACAATCTGAAGATAAAGGTTAGTGCGAATATTCAAGCTTTAGATGTGTAGAAGTGAATAAATCTGCGCCATTGTGACCGATTTCCAGCCATGTCGCCAAGAGTCTTCAACCACTGATTCTTTTCTTCGCGGGGATAGCAACCAGAAAGTCTGCACCTCCGCACGCGGCCCAGGCTGACAGTAAGAGATTTCATTGATCGGTGCCAGGTCTTGATATGGCCACATCGGACTCTAACCCAACTTCCCCTAGCATGGTACGTCGAGGTTGGTGGTGGCTTGTCACGCGCAGTACATGTCAAGCCATCTTAGTTGACTGAAGTTCACCACCTTGTCAACTGACTTGCCTAGTACCCTTTTACCCTACCTCAACTTGCTACGAAAGTATGTATGGTCGTAACCCTAGAACCGCTTCATTTCTTCTACTTTTAATAGTCATGTCAGATAATCTCAGTTTTCATGTAATGATGTGTTTAATTTCCCGTTGATTATTATTATAGTGAAGCGAGTTGATCGGTCTCATACACTTATATACTGATAGAGTTGACGTTCAAGCTCTTCACTTGTGAAACATATCATTAATATAGGTTGCAAGATTGACATTTCTATATCCTTTAGACTTATGTACAAAAAGTATTGGGAATGGATCACCAAATTTTCCGAGACCTTAAGAAGTTTAAGCCGTTTTGCATTCACAAAATGTTTGTTGTCATGTTAAATCTTTCGTGGTGGGCTTAGCTGTAAAACTAGGATCTATGTACTATTATTTTTACTCTGTTGATTGTCACTGCTGTATTGACCTTCAGTTTAGCCCTTCTACTTGACCTCTTTTCATATTTTTATGGCTTATCTCTACATCGTTTCATATCAATACCTATGACAATCATGTGTCTTGTCAAATTGTTCGAATTGTGCTTTGCAAACAAAATAACACGATTCAGACAAATCACACATACTTATTACTTTATCTAAGTTTGTCAAGGCAACAAAAATTGTTTTCAACATTATTTTTATTGTAGACACATTTCACCTCTTATGATAATAATGTTAGTTGAAATGGATACATTCAAGTTCACTCGCAAAACATTCTTTGTTCACTGGTATTTTCACAAATAAGTTATTTATGTTTCATTATTTTACTATATTTTTTAAAGCCTAATTTACCACATGCCTATTTATCCGGTGACTGTGTTGAGTGTATGGCATCATCAGACAATGTGATTCGTGCAGGCTTAACACAGAAATTTAAAGATGTCGATCATCTGCTCCGTATTGTACAATATGAACCACGTTGGGGATCAGAGTTGAAATTTGCTGGACAGTTGAAGAGAATTCAACTTGCTGATAAAACTCCCTCATGTACTGTTGATATTCGTGATCAGGAGAAGAAAGCAACTGATGATGATTCAATAGCTTTACCTGAACTCGTTACGTTTTCTCCCCCAGTTGATGAGTTTGCAGTGGATAAAATTTCAGTAAGTGAATTCTGAAGTAGATAAATGACCCTCGATTTGATCATTTTCATTTTTCGTCTTGAAAATGTCTTTTCAGTCCATAATCCCTTTTGTTTTTATTACGCATACCAACTCACTCCAACCAAACTGGTCAAAAAACAGAACGCAAAGTGCAGTAGTTTGTTGATCAATCCCCCTACTCCCACCTCCTCGTGGAATACCGATATCTGTTACAGGGATTCTTAGTCGGGTTCAAAATAAAAAAGCCAAGATCTCAAACTTGCCAAAAGGCCATGTGTGTGACCGACTTCAAGCAGATGCCACTTGGGCTCTGCGGTCACACACTATCCCTTCTTTCCCAGGTACCTCAAGAAGAACTAACCTTCCTTGCTGTGGGCATCCAGAGAGTGCGAACCGGCTGGACGCTTCCGTAGTGTCTGGTCACATAAATGAAATAGGAATGCGTGTTTACTAACCACTTGTCTCATCGAAATGCTTGTTCATATTCCAACCATATCGTATAGATAGCTGTCTTAAAAATCAAGGCTTCTGTTGACTTGTAAATTGTTTGGATACTTGTATTAAGGCAGTGTTGAGACCGGTGACTCAACTAGTCACTTCTTCATGTCATGACATGACGTCGTAATATCTTTCTCCAAGTTCGATTTTATCGTGAAATTCCCATGTTCTTTCTGGATAACATCATTAGTTATTGGCTACAACAGTGGTAAAGAGACTCAACAGCCTAGTTGAAATTTTCAGAGCACTTTTCGTAGAATGTAGGGTAGATTGATCGTCCGCTTCCGCGGCTAACTTTATAGTCTGTCAAATCTTTTGATAATAAGTTACTGAATAAATTTCTCAGTTTCTCCTTAAGATAAGTTTACCTCACCGTGATTTTAAATAACTTTCGTTTGCAATTCTTTTTGAGTTTTTGAACTGTTATTACTGGAGTTGAGGATGTTACCAGTCTTTACCTTCTACACAATGAATTCCTTTAAAACTATCAGTTCCTGATGATCAAATCATACAATTTAGAGATCTATTGAATTCCTCTTCAGTTATGAATTTGATATTTTTCGAAAAACATTTTTGACCAATTTTCAAGTAGTTCTCAATTTACTTATTCCAATATTTGGATAAGATTTTTTAACGAATTATTGCTTCTGGAATAACTTCAATTATAGTTGATTAGATGACTGTTATTGTACAGCTTACCGTTGAATAGATAATATTTTCCAAGACAACCATAAATAAATTCTATCAAGCTGCAACGTTGAAGTTGTAGAAGATAAGTGTACTATTGGTGAGGAGAAAAGGTATAACATCCTTGGTGACGTGAATAAAGTCGTGATGCCCAAAATATACTAGTAATTAACCGTTGTCATTTGGAATACCTTTACTGTACAAAATTTGTACCAAAGCTTATAGAGTTGTCATATGATTCTACTAGATATTTTAAAATCCCCTAAAACTTCTGTTACTAAATTGCATGCCGTGAGTTCTAGGAACTGAAATCAGCAGTAGTTCAGTAACATTTGATTTGTTTACTCTTGGTCTTATTGCATTCTCTGATCTGGGTGATTTAATCATGGAGCTTTCACTGTCTTTCTAAATTACATCACCACTAACTTCAATAGGAAGTGAGGTATCAATATCTAAGGTAGTATTCATCACGGACTGACATTTGTTGGAGAAGCGTTGAAAACTTGGGAGCACTGGGCAGCTGTTTAGTCTTAGCATGGGACTCCTCAGCAATGCGCACCCACAATGAAACAGCTCTTCAGTGCTCCCACGTTTTCAATAGTTTTCACATTGATGTCTGTCCGTGATGAATGCTACCTTTGAAACAAGTCCCCATTAGCATGAAAAATACATTGCTATCAATATCTGTTCAAGGCAGATTCAATGGCTTATCCTGACGAATTCGTTTGTAATTGGTTGTTTCCTTTGATTGCTGTGTCATTGACTCCATACATTTTCTCGTTAGTTGTTTCTCTAGCTGACATTTGACCTTGTTTTTGTTTATCATCCTCTTATTGGTTGATATATTGCGTCTATGTCTATACATTTATTAATCGCTGACTGACCTGAATGCCAAGCTTCTAGGAATTTTCTGATATTCTTTGTTTCCTCAGCTCAAAGTTGAATTCATGTCCATAGTTATCCACGTGCATTGAGATAAACGATGAAATGTTGTGACGTTTAGTAGCCAATCGGTGTTCATGTAAACGAAGGCGAAAAAGGGAATCATTTTCTCCAATGTAGTATTGATCGCAATTGTTTTAGTTGGTTTTGTCCAACATTAAAATAGTCACAAAGTCAGACACCATAACACTGACCCAGTTAACACTAACTGCGGGTTCTGAAGCGCCACAAGGCACCCGGTCCAGATGACTTACCCCGACTCTTCGAGGATAAAGGGACGAATCTAGTCAGGGGACTGACTAGATTGTTTGAGAAGGTATGGCAGACTGAGAATGTTCTATCATTCTGGAATTAGGCCATCGTTGTGTCCATTTTTAATGTATGTGACAGTCATCGGGTTATTAGTCTGTTACCAGTCGCGTCGAAAATATTGGTGGCTATCATACTTCGCAGACTTTGCGAAATGCGTGAGGAAATGATTCGCATGGAGTAGGTCGGGTTTTGAGCAGGTCATGAGTGCTTTGATCATCTGTTTACCTTTCACCAGATGCTTGGACATCTCCAGACATATTGCAGGCCAACAATCGCTGTGTTTCTTGACGTTAGGGCTGCCTACGATTCGTTGGACAGAGCTGTATTCAGGAATCGTCTGTTGGAGAGGGACGTGCCTGAGAAATTTAGTAACATCCTGAAAGCATATAGCCACCTGTCTCCACTGTTCCGAACCAGCAGTGGAGTTAGGTAGAGTTTTCCTATTTCTCCATTTCTTTTAACTATGCCATCGATTGACATTCTTGAGACAACTCTAAAAGGAGTGCATGATTATCATTGTCTCCGAAGGATTGCTCGTATCCAGCGGCAGTACTATGTAAGTAATCCTGAGGTACGACAGCATGTGTTTGGGCATGATGGAGATTGTCGTTTAATACATGAAGTCATCTTGAAACACCGGGTTCAGCGACTCGGATATGTGTTAAGCATGTCATCTCAATGACTTCTATACCGTTCATTGTTTGTTAACCCTGGGACTGGATGTAAGAGTTTTGGCTTGTTGGTTTAGGGATAGGACTTCCAACCGATGGCTCGCGGGTTTGAACGCCGCTGCGTCTACGAAAGTTTGGGCAACCACGTAGTATCATCAGCCCTCATACACTAGGTGTGGTTCATTGTCTAATGCACAAGTGTCTACAAGGTAGCTGAGTGGATTTCGATTTGGTGCATCACGACTCCCTGGTAGGGTCCAAAGGACCACGCAACTCAGCGACTTGAGACGTTATCAGATATGGCTCAGAATCGAAACCAGTTGGAATCATACTGTAGCTTTCTTCCATCTTCTGCTGCTGAAGAGTGATGAGTGTTCTGTTTTCATTGTATCTTACTGGACTGCCTTTCTAATCATTCAATTTCTGTGTTTTTGTTTTTATCCACTTCTCTTTGCTTTATGTCTTCTCAATCGTGTTATATTGTTTTGTGTGGTGCGTTTCTTGGTGCCCTTGGTGTCTCATGTTTGGATTCAAATAATAGTAGTAATAATGATGATAGTCACAGCGTGTTTGAAATGAAATGCTTCTGACGTTTTGTACAGAAGTCTGGTCTGAGCTTCTTTGGGGAAATAATCAAACTTAAAATATCAAAGGATTGTTGGTACGTACCACTGAAATGTAAAAGCTAGCCATTGCTCCGAGGTTTTCAGTGTTTCTCCAAATTATATGAGTTCTCGATAAAGTTTATGAAATACAAATGAAGTGCAAAAAAAGATGCGATCGGGCACTAAATGTACCAATATGGCATATGAAGTGGTTGTGTCATTTCGGTTGGTATATACGGATAGCGATTTTTTCACTGATTTGTCGGAATAGAGTGAAAATGAATGATAGTAATGATGGTGATGACGATAGGAATAATGAATTGAATCAGTTCGGATTATGTTGTTGATGCAGAGATAAGGAATTTGAGACTGGTGTTGAAGGTAAATGGAAGAGTCACTATTTCTGTTTACTAATCAGTAATTGCTAAGAGGCAGCTAACTGTACACTCCATCTCCTCTGTTCAAACTGTCTGGATTCGCCTATATATGTAGGGCCTCGGCTGTCAGTCTTTCTTGGTATGACCCAAAACCTTTTTGAAGAACCTTAGTTCCGTCAAAGTCAATTTTATGTCCCATTTCTATGGAGTATAGTGTGATTGTCGATTTGTTTTCCCGATATACAACCGAAATGACACATATTCACCTCACGTGCCTTATTGTACTTATAAAATTACCGAAGGACAATACGGTCACTTGTGACCTTTCTGACTCTTATTGGTAACCAAAGCGAACATGAATAACACATACCATGCAAGAGATACACAATTTCACACAATGATTATATTTTATTAGAAGCAGTAACTATACGAGGAGGATTGAACAAGGAGATTAGGTGCACGTCTTCGGATTCATTTATATATCCTTGATATATATTTTTTAATTTTCATTACTCCCCTGAAGAAGTTTGAACTAGACTTCCGTGCAAAACACTGGAATTATTTTAGTTCAAATACGCTGTGACTTACATAGGTATAAACTATTTCTAATGATACGATTGTTGACAAAACATTCAAGTATTTGATCTATTTACTTTCTTTACCGTCCTTCAATTAATGGAATAGTATGACTATCGTTTCCAGTTTATTTTTAACTCACAGACTTCAATGCATGTGAACGTTTGTGTAGTCAGTTTGATAAATGGTATTCGCATTTCCTCCTTTTTCATAATAGATACCAGGTCAGTATGAAACAGTGGAATTTTCACCGTTGAAAACTGCCAGCATTTTAATTATTATGGATGGGAAGGGTAGATTACAACGTCTGTATGGCAACAGATTATCTATTGTTGAGACGGCATGGGACAGCGTTGAGAATCCCACATCAGTGAGAAACAATCCAAAGAATAACAGTTATAAATCAGATTATGTGGATAGCAATTCAGTGTCTTCGGCCTTTGTTTGTGAATACTTGTAAGTTTTTTTCGTTAGATTGATCATTATTATTACTATTATTTGTCCCTTGGGTTCCTAATGGAACATAGGGCTTCAGTAGCACGTCTCCAGTGAACTCTGTTCTCTGAAATCTTTTGAACCTGACTCCACGACAGCCCAGAAGCTCTCATTTCTTCCTCGCATGATCTCCTCCATGTCACCCTCACCTCGGACGCCAAACTCGTCGCTTCCCATCGGGGTTCTACTCGACAACCTGGCCTGGTGTGTAATGTCCCCAGTCGGCCAATGCATATTTGTTGAGTGATAGGTTCTTGGTTGGTTCGTTCCCAGAGCTCCTTGTTGCTTATTCTTATTATTCTGGCCATCTGATCTTCAGTAACGAGCCAGAGTAGGTGGCAGTTGTTGATGAATGTGTGTAGTTTGTTGGAAATGCCTTTCGTAACGCACCAAGTCTCTGAGCCATACAGAAGCACTGACTTGACTGAAATGGTGTTGAAAATCCGGATCTTGTTCCACATGCTGAGTGCAGATCTCCACACTGGTTTCAGGCCAATGAACGCCTGTCTTGCTTTTCCAATACTAGCTGGCTTTGACGTCCTCGTCTATGCCGCCTGTAGTTGAAACGATGCTTCCTAGATAGATGAAGGAGGCTACTTCATGCTTGTCCAATTCATCGGAGGGAGTTTTGGCACATCCTCAATTTGATTTTTTTAAATACGTCTAACGAAACCTTTGGGATAATTGTTTGCTTATTAAAGATGCATTAGATATCATTCATAGCCTACTGCTGTCAGATACTGACCTACGTATTTTAAAAATTAAATTAAGGATGTGCCGAAACTCCCTCCGATGAATTGGACAAGCATGGTCATAATCCCATACCGAAAGGAGACTTCAGAAGAAATACGAAGGATTCTCAACAAACACGAAATAAGAGTTTACTTTCGTGCAACAAATAACCTACTTTCTAACTCAATGAAAGTTAAAGATGTAGTACCTAAAGAAAATCAGCAGAACTGCGTCTGTGAAATCAAATGCAGAGACTGTACTGCAGTATATGTAGGAGAAACAGCCAGACAGGTAAATGTGAGAGTCAATGAGCATAAACTATGCTTAAAGCAGATCCCAAAAACCTCAGCAGAGGTTAAGAAACTAGAAAACAAATCCGCGATCGCGCTACACTCCATAGAAATGGGACACAAAATTGACTTTGACGGAACTAAGGTTCTTCAAAAAGGTTTTGGGTCATACCAAGAAAGACTGACAGCCGAAGCCCTACATATATAGGCGAATCCAGACAGTTTGAAAAGACGAGATGGAGTACAGCTAGCTGCCTCTTAGCAATTACTAATTAGTAAGCAGAGAGAGTGATTCAAAACATTTACCGTCAACACTAGTCCCAACTCCATTATTTCTGTATCAACAACAACACAACCAGGACTGATTTGATTCATTATTCCTATCATCATCATCATCATCATTACCACCCTATTCCGGTAAATCAATGAGAAGAAAATTCGCTAACACTATGCACCTCGTTATTCCAACTGAAATTGTATACACCTCATCCTTTTCAATTTGTACGTATAAAATTATCGAATGACTATGTCACCAGTGACCTTTTTGTCTGATACTTACAATCAAGACGAATATGAATTGAAGTACATATATACATACACATATAACATACATATTCCATACAACAAAAGATATACAATTTCTTAAAATGATGGAGAATATTTGTAGCTCAGGTGGATGGTCTTGGTTGTATTGTTTTCTCTGAGCTCAGAGGACAAGGAGATTAAATACACGTTTTTGAATTCATTTGTATATCCTTGATATTTTAATTTTGATTATTTCCTTGAAGAAGCTCGGATCAGACTTCGTGCGAAACGTTGTAGTTATTTGATTTCAAACCCACTGTGACTTACACAAATACAATCTATATCTAATGTCAAGCTACTTTTATCATTGAAAGGCTTTAAAGTTGTAGATATACATCATGGACGTTATGTTTTCATCTACAATATGTTCTTTGTATTCTGCAAGTATACGATTGATTGATTTGGATTGATAAGTTTGTTTAGTGTAGGTGGTTGTCAAGCTGGGATTTAAATCGTTAAGTTTCAATATATGAACTTGATACTTTCCTGTGATCTTATTCAAGTGCGCTTACCGGCTTAGCATTTCGCTGGCAGCCTGTAGATTATGCATTCCATCGCCGATTCATCCTACTTTATGTGGAGGAATGATCCTTTTGCATCATATGCTTGACTCATCGTAATTTCATATACATAGCTGTGTAGTGAATTGTAATTTTCGATATCGGCTACTCGGTAGTATAGTAAGCCCTCACATAAGTTTAACTCATACTTTACATTACAAACTCGTACCAGGTTGAATTGTAGTAAGTAATTACTTACCTTCTTCATGATTCAGTAGGGAGAAGTCAAGTAACTAGCTTATAGGCTAGCTAGTTTCTTAGCTTGGCAAGTGGTAAATATGTAAAACTGCAGTTTTATAACTTGAGTAATACAAGTTATTACGCGAAAACAAATTAAAAATAACAGTGACAATAAATAACCTGCTTTCTATATTTCAGAAATTTTGACCGAGGATCTGTATTCTTCATCAGTGCTGGTGTTCCCTTTTGTATTCATCAGCTGCAAAGTAGTAATTCACAGATATTGGCTTTCCGAGCTTATGCAAACGTCTCCTGTAACTGAGCATTGCTTTTTACTTTACCTGAAAATCTATCTTATCTTAGTCGGTCCTGATTATTTCATTTACTTAACTTTGTTTTGCAAATTTGCATGTCTGATTAGAAATGATTACCTGAAAGCATTATTTCATAATATCCTTTATTTTAAGCGAGCGTGAATTACAATCAGTTTCGATAACATTGATTATTTTATGTCTTTTTTTGCATAATTTTTTCCCGTTGTACTGTGTATCAATTTGCATATTTAATATAAGCTGCTGGGTTAACTTTTTAGGTGAAAATCCAGAAAAACTGAATTTTTTTTGTATATGCCTGTGTGCAACAAAGTCATCTTACCAAGCGGATCAATAATATGGGAGTGAAACGTTGACACGGTGGTAGATCACCATCTGTTTATGAGATGTGTCACACAGTGAAATAGTATTATTCACTGGATAACGTTTCGGACAGTTTATTAGCCATATTTATGTCATAATTGACTTAGTTATGACTAGCAATGGGATCCAGGACTCGCGTTTCGTCCTATTTGGGACTCGTCAGCTAGATGTACCTGCACACCAGTGAGTAATACTGTTCCCATTGAGGCACGACAGTCACCTCCCAAACAACGGGTATTAGTCATTACTATTTGTTGGTAATTGTAATTCTTTGTTGTTATACTAGATCGAATTAATCGACCTCTGTCGGCATATGGTCTTCTATGTGGATGCCTTGATATCGCTTGAAAATTTATAGGTGAAATAATAACCAGTACTAACAAGTTGGCAGAAGAGGCGGCGAAGACGGGACTTCAGGTGAATATAGAGAAGACAGAAGTGATGAAGATACAACACCAACAAATTCCAGTCACCATCAACGGGAGAAACTTAAAGGAAGTAACCTCCACCTATCTAGGAAGCACTGTTTCAACTACAGGCGGCACAGACGAGGACGTCAAAGCCAGCCAGTATCGGAAGAGCAAGACAGGCGTTCATTAGCCTGAAACCAGTGTGGAGATCTTCTGCACTCAGCATAAAGCGCGAACAACATCCGTATTTTCAACACCATTTCAGTCAAGTCAGTGCTTCTGTATGGCTCAGAGACTTGGTGCGTTACGAAAGGCATTTCCAACAAACTACACACATTCATCAACAACTGCCACCTACTCTGGCTCGTTACTGAAGATCAGATGGCCAGAATAATAAGAATAAGCAACAAGGAGCTCTGGGAACGAACCAACCAAGAACCTATCACTCAACAAATATGCATTGGAAGGAAGTGGAGATGGATTGGATTGGGCATACACTGAGAAGGCCGACTGGGACATCACGCGCCAGGCCAGGTTGTCGAGTGGAACCCCGATGGGAAGCGACGAGTTTGGCGTCCGAGGTGAGGGTGACATGGAGGAGATCTTGCGAGGAAGAAATGAGAGCTTCTGAGCTGTCGTGGAGCCAGGTTCAAAAGATTTCAGAGAACAGAGTTCACTGGATACGTACTAGTGAAGCCCTATGTTCCATTAGGAACCCAAGGGACTAATAATAATAATAATAATAACCAATATCCTCCGTACAACAGGCAATTATCGTATTTCAGTGGATAACGCTTTGGCATTTAAAGCGATGGGTGCGAGGTTGTAGTGGGAACAACATCATCCGCTGCAGTGCAGGTACATTCACTTGACGAGTCCCAAATAGGATAAAACGTGCAGAAGTTAGGCGTAGAGTTTTAGGGAGAAGAGGTAAATCTGTTGATGAGGTTAGGAACCTTCATCGACTGAGACGGCTAGGACACGTATAACATATGCCTAGTCGCTGTCTGCCTCGTCACAATGTTGGCTGAAGTAGGTGTTCATGGTGGAAATAGGCTCGGGGAGACCAGACTAAAACATCGATTTATGAAGTCTTTGACTGTTGGTTTGAGCCATGTAGGTCGATGCAGACTAGCCGGTTGGGGCTCGCGTGACAATAGGAACCAGTGGTTGGAGACTCTATGTGGTACGCCTTAGAACCGATGTAAGTGGCACAGATGTATACACACATTATCCTCATCTTAACGACACTATACCAAAAATCACCACTCTCTCATTCTTCCTTTCTCTCTTCTCGTACTTTATATTTTCAAAAGAATTTTCTTTTCCTCATCTTACACTTCACAGACTTTTTACTTGATGTACTGATATAAGGTGTGGCAACTCGTATCGTTACTCAGTAATGCCTGGTTCTATGTTGCTTTGGTTGGATGGATAGAAACATGCGTCCTGGATTCCACTACTAGCCACAATCAAGTCAATTATAACAATAAGTATTGAGGCATCCACACAGAAGCTCATATGACAACAGCAGTCGATACAGTATCAAAAGGGACAGTTACCAGTATCAACAAATGTTAACATATGTAAATCAGTTGATTTGATAAGCCTTAGGCACGGTTTATATAGTTCTGATCTCTCGTACTTTATGTTATGGGAAGTATAATTTTCGCAATGTCTTGAACTGGTGGTGAGTCATTTGCGTTTCACGCTCTTGGGTTATTAATTTCTTTACCCAACCAAGTTTGTTTCTAATACTGTCTCTCTGTCGTATCCTATTGTGTGATTATAGAGTAAATAGCCGAATTTTTCTCGATATACTTCACCTTCATAAGGTCGACCAATCTTAGTCGGAGGGCTTGTGTTCACTAGTAATTCTGTAGCTGGTCTACCGGTGGTACTTTGACATCACAGTCATAATGCACTTTGACTGATGTTAAGTGGTTAGAAACAAGTGATAGAAAGTTTCGAACCTAGTTTTATTTTTCGTTAGCACACCAGGTTTCCTGTATTTACTGAGCCATTGGTACAGCTAACTGGTAGCGTGCCTCAATACAGTGCCAATTAATGTAGGCTTTAGTCTCAGAAGAGAGACTTGTTCCCTTGAAGTTGCATATACACCTTACTCACAAGTGCCAACAAGCTCAAAACCGAGAGATTCCTCCCAGTCGCTTCCAAACGTCTGACAACACTGATGTGTTGGTGAAACCTCCGAGTGAGTGATGTTCAATAGACTGTAAGATGAAGGAGGAAGCGAATTGATAGACCGAGGTGCTTCACAATGGTGTGACATACAGAATCACTCACTGCCCTCCTCAACAATCTTATTTCGCCTCATCTAACAGAATAGTGGGAGAAACGTCGATGCGGTAAGGGTAGACATAATTCAAGTCATGGAATCTCGATACTGGTCTGAGTGACATGAAACTTCAGGCTACTGGGCTGTAGTCAGTACGACAGTTGAAATCAGTAGTTAGAAAGCTTTTTATGATCTGACTTAAGGTGGTTGTGCTAACACAATGGAATTCATACATTTTCTTGTAAATCGTGAGCACTTACCATTCAGAATGCTTCTATCCCATGACGTATCCTGCTTCGTTAATTTTGTCCTTTATTACAACTAATATCAACATTTTCTGACAAACCAAATTGAGAACGGGCAGTTTGAACACTCAGTTGCTACAATGAATTTGTCTGCTTTTTATTAATTCAGAAATACAACAATGTACGCTTTCTCCCATTTTACGTTTCTTGCACTGATTTGCTTTCACTATGGTGGTATGTCGAATAAATACGCTGCGATATCCTGTTCTTTTCGATTTTCCAGTTTGTCTACCGGCGTATTACGAATGGGAAAGTGAGAATCAAATCACTATTTCTACAGAGGTTGAAATAAAACTAACCCTTTATGTTTGAGCTAGTTAGTTTGAAATAGGCTGGTTAGTGACTATGGCCTCATCACCGTTTGACGTATGGTGTAATTACCGTTTGAAAAGTGGCAACGTTTGGCGAACGATATCTAGGCAATTCATTCGAGTTGTTGATCTTCACCTACTAAGGTGATTTCGACTCAGGTGGAGCCCCCACCTATCTTAACGTGAAATGTTAACATTGAGTTGAAGAAGACTAAAAGCGATCATGAAATTCGGCTGATGATTTGGGTGCATTTTTTCAAACTGATATCATCTAGGTGATAGGAATCAATGGTCGGAGGGCTTTGGTGGTGCATTTCAAAATGGTGCAGTTTCACTTATTCTTCATCGTCTTCAAATTCTGTGGTATTTTCATCGGCCTCATATATTCTTTCATATCTCATACAGCTTCTTCTACTTCCATTCACGTTTTTGCACACTACCATAAAGTGTGACTGCTTGGACCGATGTCCTTTGGTATCAGGTTCATTTTTCAGTCTTTGGATTTTATCTTACTCCGGCTAACGTCACCTAATAACCATTGATAACATCTCAAAAATAGCTATGAAGGTGTGTGCTATCGGTGGAAAGACCTCCAACCATAAGTATTTAAATGATCTTGCTACGGCATACTGAAATTGCACGAAATCAGTTGGCTGAAATCTGAGCCTGAAATAATACTTTGAGGTCAATCATTGGAAAAAGTCGAGCCACTTGTTTTAGAACTGTTGGAAATGTTATGATATGACTTACAACTGCATATTGATATCTGGGGAAGTATAGGTTCACGTAGGTCACTTTAAGGGCTCTGCATTAGTTTATAAAAAGAAACATGCACACGCCATTGATCCTTTCACTTCTGATGTACTCATGTGAACCGACACTTTCGAGCTCAGGAACAACAAACCCAAGAAAACCAACGACAACAAAGCAAGATCAAAATAGGGCCTGTCATTACTGTTTAACGATTCAAGTTGCCAAATACAGCTCCTGTCGGTAAGTCCCAGAACCTGGCTGAGGGAAAATATCCGGTCGACACGCTCACGATAAGGTCTTTATACCTGCATGAGTTTCTTCTAGCTATTAGTAGGGATCAGTGCTCATGGGACAGCATTCCTGGTCGTTCCAAACTATATATTGGAGTTTCCAATCTCCAACAAGTCGGTCAGCAAGCTTCGCTAAGCAGAACGCTGGTATATCAGACGCTTGAGTGGAGCAACCGACTAGCAAATCAGGTTTCAGCTGTGTACTTACCGTTGCCTTAATTATATAGGCCATGTTTCACCACATGGGTAACGTAGAATT